ATCTATCTATCTATCTATCTATCTATCTATCTATCTATCTATCTATCTATCTATAGCTCTATCTGTATCTCTCTATGCCAGATTTAAGGTGGCACGGTTAGCACTCCGATGCGACCTCACCTTCTCCTTCTGGATGGCTTCTCCCAGCATTATATCTGCGCCCCGTGGTTAATGGTGGAGGAGAAAGAGATGCAGCCACTGATGAATATTGAGCAAGGCTGTGTTAAGTGAGACAATCTCCCAGGAGTTACAGCTAGTCCTCAACTTACAATAGCTCATTTAGTGACCATTCGAAGTTACAATAGCCCTGGAAAAAGTGAACTTTTGACCACTGTTCACACTTACGACTGTTGCTTGCATCCCCATAGTCACATGATCAAAATTCGGGTGGTTGGCAACTGGCTCAGGTTCACCTGATGCTTGCAGTGTCTCAGAGTCACGTGATCTTTTTTTTGCGACCTTCTGACCAGCAAAGTCAACGGGGAAGCCAGATTCACTTAACGACCAGGTTACTCATTTAACCACTGCAGCGATTCACTTAACAAATGTGGCAGGAAAGGTCATAAAATGGGGCAAAACTCAATAATCGTCCTGCTTAACAACACTTTGGGTTCAATTGTGGCCATCAATCAAGGACTTACCTGTATTTGTTTGGTTCAGCCTCAGATGCTGCCATTTTCTCTGCCCAACTCTGTTGCTATGAAGAAAGTGAAAAAAATACCTTCATTTTGTCTCCCACAGGTTTGGACTTCTTTTCGTTCTTACCAGGAGACAATCAGGTAGGTTGCGTGTTAATTTATTTGCGTATTCATGTATTTCCAGAATCTCCAAAAATTCCCAGCGTTTTGGAGTGCAGAAGTACACTTAAAATAATACATAATATAACATCCCTAATTATCCACCCATCCTAGTCACCTTTAAGGTTAAAGGTACAAGGTTAAAAGTTTCCTGTAGCTACTGAGGGGATTTCACAAGTTGATTGACGAATTCTCGTTTGCAAAGGCAATAAATATCTTTGTGTACTAAAATGCCCTAATCTGGTGCAGGCATCCAGTGCATGACAAAAGTGGTGTAAAATTGTGCCAGTGAACTACCAAAAGGAGAACTGTTCTGCCCAGCTCAGACCTCACTGGCTTCCCGTTCTCTTCCCTCTTCCCATTTAATAGCAATAGCACTTAGACTTCTATACCGCTTCACAGAGCTTTCCGGCCCTCTCTAAGCGGTTTACAGAGTCAGCCTCTTGCCCCCAACAGTCTGGGTCCTCATTTGACCCACCTCGGAAGGACGGAAGGCTGAGTCAACCTTGAGCCTGGGGAGACCCAAACTGCTGGCAGCCAACAGTCAGCAGAAGTAGCCTGCAGTACTGCACTCTGACCACTACACCACTGCGGCTCTTTAATGGGTTCCCAAGGCGCCTCGGCCTTCGTTCAGAGGCCATGACCGATATTCCAGCTGTGGCTCTGTGGCTGCTGAACATTGAAACCCCACCCTGGTGCCCCGACTCCAGATGTGAGATTTCGCAGGGCCTCTCCACCGCCTGGGCTTGGGAAGCCTCTAACTCCCACTCCAACGATCCACGTTTGGGGCTGGCGGCAGAAAGGGACAGGGTGTCCTTGACCCTCCCCGGTTTCATCAGCCTTTTTATCTCCTCCCCAGCATTACAGCACTTCCATTTTGGCGGCCGCTGCCGCCGCCGCCGTCTCCACTTCCGATGATCAAGAACTCTTGCACTCCCGGTTTTTCCCCTACACTTCGTCGCAGATGTTCCTGGACCAGCTGAACTCCGGAGCGGGCGCCACCCTCCCCACCACGAATGGCAGCAACAGCGGCAGCAACAGCAGCCTCGTCTCCTCCACCAGTATGCGGGAGGCCCACAGCCACCCCGTGGCCAGCAGGGGCAGCACAGACCCGGCCTCTCTCTTCGGCGTCATGCCGGACATCATTTCTTTGGACTGAGCTTCGGTTGAGGTGTCCCTGGACTCCGTGGGTGAAGAAGAGATTTGCGATTCTTTCGTTTGACCTTATTTTTGTTTAGAAATGCAGATAAGCTTTTCCTTTTTTTGTAGGGGGAAAAAAAAAAAAGAGACGTGTACAGAGAACAAAGCTATATTTTCAGTTGTACTTTTGTATATAAACCTAAGATGATTGGACTGGTGAAAAACAAAACAAAACAAAAACGACAAAAGCTCCCAACATAATTGCTTGGGGTCTGGAAGACTTTTTCCCCTCCCGATTTATCTTGTGCGCTGGCGGGCTTGTTTTGAAGCTTTGACTCTGAACCATATATAACTTTTCGTTTGTTCACAGCAGTGCTGACGGGGGAAATGGTGCACTTGAAACACTGAACGTTAATAGAGGACTTCTGGTTCTTGAGGAAACGGAACGGCATCCACAATAATTGGAGAGAATTTCTCCTTCCTTAAGGCTCCGTTGGGAAAGTTTGCCTGCACATTTGCTTTGAAACAAATGCAGTGTTTGCAATTGAATTGGACCTTCTTGCTTTTCTCTTCATTTGTTTATCCCCAAGTAGGACAGAGGCTGTTTGAGTTACCGAAATTCCATAGCGTTTTCTCGTGTGTCAGCTGGATGTAGGTTTGGGAAAGTCTTTTGGCTGTTTGTTCTGATGTGGACCCACATTTTTTTTCTTTGGATTGTGTGGATTAGCTAGCACTGCCTTGGTTTGCTCATAACTCAGATTTCACAGTTCTCCTCTTCGCTAATTGTTTGCCATTAAAGGGTTATTCCACTCAGTTGGATGAGACCAAATGGCTTCTTAAAATCTAGGTGCCAGTGAGGGCACCCTTGGTTGAGGCAGTTGCTTGGCATTACTGTGGCAATTAAACTCTTTGTCTAGAGTTCTAAAGACAAAGAAATTGGTGGAATTTTTAGAACACGTTTACTAAATAGAGCCAACCCATCAATATTTAAGAGGAATAATGTAATTTCAGTAAGCTTATTGTGCAGTTGACAGTGTTAATGGCCACCCTATGCACCAAGGTCCAATCCTAGAAAACATTTTTTTTTTTTGGCTTGGGAAAATGTGCCCTATTGAATTGAGTAGGATTTAGCAAAACTAATATTTGAGTAAATAATCCCTAGGATTGGGCTAAAGAGTGGCCCATTAAATTATGACAAAAAGCCCTTCCGTTTGTATTGCGGCTTATTGGAAAATAAAAATCTGCAAGATTATTTGTTCCTCTTCTTTCCCATCTTCTGAAGGAAGATACGGGCCTCACCCTTTTAGCATTTGCAAATTCCATACTGAGGGATGAACGTTAAGTTAGAAAACTGTTTTTATTTGGCTGATTTTTTTAAAAAGCATCTCCCCACCCCCACCCCCCCAAAAATAACAAAACATGAAAATTGGCAGGAGATTTTAAAAAGAAAATGACAGGGAAGGACAAGTGAAATTTTCTGCATGCCAAAATCTGTGTTGAGATTAGAAGATTTTATAACTCACCTTAAAATCAAGTTTTAAAAACGATGCAGATTTCAGCAGGAGGAAGCCAAGTGGTGCAACAAGGCCGGCCTTTTTGTTTCGTCTTAATCAGGAGGCACGTTAGCTGGTTCTTTGAACCATGATCTGGAAAGGGCAGCATTTTTCCAAACTCTTCTTTTCAAGGCTGTCTTTTAATGAAACTTAAATCAATGAGAAACTACAAATTTTTAATCTTAAAAGTGATTTTTTTTTTAATATAGACCTCAGCAAAGTTATATTGGATTTTCTGAAATACATCCCATTTGCCATTTACATTTTGATTTGAATTTTAGGAATGTTTGTTTATATGTATATGCGTGTGTATATATGTATTTATAGATATGTGTGTGTGAGAGCGAAGGTGTGTATTCTGTTCCATGCATGTATTCTATTAATGTTTGGCCAATATGATTCCTTGCTAGTTTCTAATTTATTAAATGGCAGTAAGAGTTAAAGAAGCAAGTAGAAAACAGTAATATTTTCTAAATTCACTATAGCTTGGGGCATTAAAGCTAATACTGGCTTAAGAATTATACCTAACGTTTAAAATTTATCCTCTCTGTGTTCCAAGTGAAGATTGGGAAATAGCCAGATGGATGGCTGTAGAACAGAATTGGCACCATTCTCTTGAAAGCCTGTGGCCTTCGATCTGACATTTTTGCATAACTCCAAATAATTGTTTTTGTTGAATACTTAAAAGTATATGTTCTAATAACACACCATAGCACATTGTAAGGTGGTTAAGCTAGAGAGCGTGGGCCCAGCGTGTGTAAAAATGAGCTGCAGTCACGCTCTGTTTACTTGTGATGGAGAATCAGTACATGTACAGTAAATGCATCAGGCAAGTAGCCGTGTGAAGTTTGTTTGCACTGACCACGAATCGTACGTACTGTGATCTGCATGTATACTGGCTCCCCTGCTGCATCTAACCTTAGGAAGCTGAATTTATGCACTGCTTTGAGTGGGTTCATGGAGAGGGTGTTTAGCTTTGTGTGTGTGTGTGTGTGTGTGTGTGTGTGTGTGTGTGTGTGTGTGTGTCCATCCGTCCGTGTGTCTGTGGTGCATTCTGGGCTGGACGTGCATCAGAAGAATTTTGATCTGGCTCTCAGTCCGATAAAGAATTGGGCGTTGCGGGAAACATAGGATTTCCTCCACGTTAAATTGACTTGATAATTATGAAACGAAAGTCCTGCTGGTACTTCAGTTTTTCAATGAACCAAATAGAAGAGCCACCTCTGGCTGCCAAGGGACAGGTGAGGTTGCACCTGAAAGCAGCACCGATCATTTGAATGTGAGATATTCAGTAACATCCCAAATGGAAGCCGGGGGGAGTTAATGCCAATTCTTCTGCTCGAAATCTTTTCCAACCTAAATGAGATCTGGGCAGTCAATTAAGTCAGAACATGCATCAGACTTTGGGAGTAACAATATATTTTGACTACAGGATTTTCTTCTGTGGTGAGATGTCCTTGCCAAACTAATTTTTGACCGTGGTAGTTTTTCTGGGAAGCAAAGGGGTCTGTTTTGCTTAATTGGACAATGTAAGACCTACGTATTTCATTTTGTATATTTGCTTTTGTGGGGATGGTGGCTTATTATTTTTCCCCACAGAAAGGAGTGTGTGGGTGTGGGTGTGCTTATGACTTGTATGTCTTGTTTGTACTTTGTGTACGTTGTGCTCTGTGTGTATACACACAGATGCAAGAGTCTTCTATAATAAGAGTGATTTTGAATCACTTCTGTGGGCATTAACTAGATGCATCATTTTCCTGTTTAAAAACCTGAATGCAAAACCAAAATTGCAAGCAAAATCCACAGTATTTTAACTGCATTCCCACGTTTCTTCTGTTCTCTACTGAAACAGAACTAATGTATCAACCTGAAGCTGATTCTTACTAGTAATTCTGCTGTACTTTGGCTAAGCTTTCCCATTATATTAAACATTTCCTAGCTTTTCTCATAATTTGAAATTATGGTTTCTTATTTTATTTTATTGTTCTTCGGTAAGAGCTTTGATTTCTATTGAACTAAAACTGCCAGAGGCCCCAATGTGTGCTGCTGTTAATTGTTCTGATTAACAAAAGGGAAGAACCTGTGTATATAAAGTGAAAAACAGAAAAAGTGATTCCATAAACGCAGATCTGTGATTCATTGCCTTAAACTTTCTCTTAAGTTTCCATACAGCATGCCAAACAAGTTTTAAAAAGTGGCTTTTAAAAATGTATAGTAGACCAATGTCAGTTTGTATAAAAGTACCAAGTGAAAATATTTATTACATGCATTGGAAGAGAAATGGTTTACCCTATTGAATGTTACTTGTTTATGTAAAACATCTTTAGATGTAATAAAAACATTATTATGTTCTCTCTTGTGGAATAACTCGCCATGTATGCACAATAATAGACTGGGTTTGCAAGAGATAAATTCTTGGTAAACTCTATTCAAAAAACCAGTGCAAATTGAAAGAACCTTAGTTGTAGCTTGCTATTTGTGCCAGGAGGCACTGGCTGTCTTTGAAATCAGGAGCTGCCAAGCTGGAGGATGTATACCACTTTATGAGTATCTGGGTACGTCGGTGTGGTAGTGGATGACTGCGCAGACTCTGGTTACGTGAACCTCTGCTTCGAGTAGCTGCTCCTGATGCTGCTTCACACCACGTTCAGTGACCACAACACAGCTGCATCACACTGATTCAAGGGAACAGGAGTTGCCTTCGGAAGTTGTGGGAGCTTCATCCCTGGAGGCTTTCAAGAAGAGACTGGACATCTGACATCTGTCAGAAATGGTCTAGGGCAGGGGTGGGATTCAATTTTTTAAACAACCGGTTCTGTGGGCATGGCTTAGTTGGTGGGCGTGGCTTGGTGGTCATGTGACCAGGTGGGTGTGGCTTGGTGGTCATGTGACTGGCTGGGCGTGGCCAACTCAACATCACTCACATCGAGGCAAACATCTTCTCGCCTGGCCTCTCGTGACACTCGGAATGCTGCAACAGTCGTAAGTGTGAAAAATGGTCATAAGTCACTTTTTTCAGTGCCATGGTAACTTTGAATGGTCCCTCCACACAAGCAAAGTACCAGCAAAGGAGGGGAAAAAAACTCCAGAGACGTTCCTGAGACAGGAAGTCTAGTCCTGCCAAGAATGTAATAAGGGTTAACGGAGAGGCAGTTTCTGTCAGCAACACCAGAATGTTTCCTTCCTGCCTTCCTTACAGGATTAGCCCTGTAATTTCTTCTAACAACCGGTTCTCCGAACTGCTTAGAATTTTAACCGGTTCTAGTGAATAGGGGCGAACTGGTAGAATCCCACCCCTGGTATAGGGCCTCTTGCTTGGGCGGAGGGTTGGACTAGCTGACCTACAAGGTCCCTTCCAACTCTGTTAATCTGATCTGACTCCTTGCAATGTGTTTCCTCACAAAAAGCAAACTTTATGGATTGCATGATACTGAAAAGTATTTCCAGTTTGCGAGCACCTGCTTTTTGATTACTTTAAAAAACAACAACAAAGAAACTTCACTCAAACAGAAAATAAGCATAGTAGATTTTACCCAGAAAAGCTAACATTTCTGCTTTTCTTTCATTGTTTAACATATTTCTTTTTGTTTGCCACAAAGTGTTTATTTTTTAAGACAAAAAGGCAGTCAGGCCCCAGGTTCCAAGAAGAACCGATGAAGGCTGCGAGAAGAAGATGGGTTGCTTTTTTGCAATTCAATAATCATCAAGTGGAAGTGTGATTGATTGAATTAAGTCTTCATACTTCACCAGTCCGTTGTGTCCTGTTCTGACATTCTTCAAAAGGTGGTCCACTGTAAGCAATGGCAGAATAATTGAACTTCAGGCTGCAGGTTACAGATATCCAGACTATTTATTTCAGATCTTTAATTAGATGTCAAATTGTGGATAGGCAGGAGATGAAATTATGGTAATAGCACTTAGATTTATATACTGTTTCGTAGTGCTTTCCAGCCCTCTCTAAGCAGTTTTACAGAGTCAGCCTCTTGCCCCCAACAATCTGGCTCCTCGTTTTACCCACCTTGGAAGGATGGAAGGCTGAGTCAACCTGGAGCCTGGTGAGGATCGAACTGCCAAATTGTATGCAGTCAATAGTCAGCAGAAGTGACCAGTACAGCACCAAGGCTCATGATCTTTAATTAGGATGTCAAATTGTGGATGAGTGGGAGATGAAATTATGGTAATTCAACAGCTAAAGGAAACAATTGGTGGAATAGGTGGTTCACACATCACAAAGGCGCATGATGTAGGAACCTGTGTCAGGATTCCGGCAGTTACCCCCATTTAAATCATGAGTCTCGAGCCAAACTTCCAAAACGTCAAAAGGATTGATTGGGAGTTAAAAGGTCCGGCACTGCCTGGGTGTAGCCGACTCTGAGACTCATCATTCATTGTCACCCTTGACCCTGGTTTCCCCCCCACCCCCTGGGTATATCATAATTCATATCCTCCAATGGGACACATCCATAGCCCAGAGTCATCAATCAGGCTCTCCAGTTAGAATTTTGCACGGCAGAAACTCCAGTCACCTAGTTACTATCTTTGAAAACATTTGTGGAATGCGGTTTCGGTTTTGCAAGCTGCCGCACTGCTCCCCCCTCCTCCCTTTCTGTTGGCAACTCTAAAAAGACCATAGAAATATTTTATGAGTTGACAACCTGGTTTGAAGCAGGTTGAGGTTTGGGATAGGACTAACTGAAATACCTCCAAGTACGGTATAGATCAGGGGTGTCAAACTTGCAGCCTGTGGGCCAGATATGTCACGCGCTGGCCATGCCCATCCCCAGTTGACCAAAGGGGGAGAGGGAAATCACAATACATTACATGACAACGCGAGTTTGACACCCCTGGTATAGATCAATAGCCATAACACTTCGATTTATATACCCACTCTATGGCGCTTTACAGAACTCTTGAGCAGTTTACAAAGTCAGCATTTGGACCCCAACAATCTGGGTCTTCATTTGACCAACCTTGGAAGGATGGAAGGCGGAGTCAACCTTGGGCCCTGTCAGGATCGAACTCCTGGCTGTGCAGAGAGTTTGCCTAGAATACTACACTCTAACCCAAAGGTCTTCCAACTTGGCAAGTCTAAGACTTGTGGGACTTCAACTCCCAGAATTCCTGAGCTAACATGACTGGAGGAGGAATTCTGGGAGTTGAAGTCCCACAAGTCTTAGACTTGCCAAGTTGGAAGACCCTTGCTCTAACCACTAGGCCACCAGGACTCGGTGTTCTTAAAGCTAAGAGCAAACTAGAGCAGGGGTCTCTAACCTTGGCAACTTGAAGTCCACCAGGCTTCAAGTGGCCAAGGTTGGAGACTCCTGGAGAGCCACCTAGATGAGTCAAATGTCTGAACCTGGGGAGTGATTATTATAAAGAGGATATCCAAGAAGAAGGAGAAAATCTTGATTGCTCCCAGCCACAAAATACTTTTTACTCCACGCTAAACCACAAAATCCACTAGCATTCCTTCTTTCATGCACCTGTTCTGTGTGCCTGGTTGCTGATTTCTCCTAGCCCAGAATCTGAAACCACAAAGCCCTTCAACAATTCAGTGGAACTGAAGTGTTTATTATGCCGCAGAAAAATATTAAAAATAGAGGAAAATTAATCATGAAATGTGTCTTAATTTATTTAATTTGAATTTAAATAAAAATCCCTATTCGTTTTTATCCCAAGTGCCTACTTTTTGGAAACTGGCCTTCCACCCACTGTTGAGGGTCCTATGAAGATTTTTAGGTTCTTCCTACACTGAGAGTAGATGCTTAGCTTTTAACTCTACCAACTGACAGAATCCTGCACCAAGTTACCACGTCTGCTGTGCTGAATAGAAACACTATGCAGTGGAGGAAAACCTATAGGAAAGAAAACGGTGTTTTCCAGCTTTACCATTGCGGTATGCTGGACTGTAATATTTATACCGATACTCTGGGATGGGTCTCCAACCGTGGCAACTTTAAGACTTGTGGACTTCAACTTCCAGAGTTCCTTAGCCAATTTACATCTGCATGGGCATTCATGCTTTTGCATCGTCACAGCCCTGTCAGTTCAACCCTCCACAACAGTCCCTGTTTCTCATGTGTCTCTTTGGGAAGATTAATTGCCCAGCCCTGATCTAGAGGACACAAATTAACCTAGTTAATTAACAATGATACCCTGTTTCCCTGAAAACAAGACCCAGCCAGAAAATAAGCCCTAGCGTGGTCTTCCGGGATGCTCATAATATAAGCCCTACCCCCAACAATAAGCCCCAGTTAAGAATGTCAGCCAGACGGATGCATTTAGTACCGTGTTTTCCCCCCAAAAAGGTCTAACCAGAAAATAAGCCCTAATGCATCTTTTGGAGCAAAAAATTAATATAAGACCAAGTCTTATTTTAGGGGAAACGCAGGAATGTAACCGCCTTTGCTCGCTCCCTCTTCCCTTCCATCTTCCTGTACAGTTGTACCTTGGTACTCAACTGCTTCAAAACTCATTAAATTTGGTTCTGGATGCATTTTGAGGTGAACATGTCGTCCCAGTGCTCAGCCTTTGTACTCAATGTGCTGCTATGGGAAGAGGGGAATCGTTATGGGGAACAAACAGGAAGTCAGCCATGCTGCCAGAGAAGGGGGTCAGCCATAGAGGGCGGACAGGAAGGCTACGCTGGGAAGGTCACCGACTTAGAAAAAGGGACAGATAGAAAGTTCTTCCCGGTCAAAACAAAGGGTCACCTGGTTTGTTTAGGACTTGTCCTTTTAAGTACCCATCGCAGCGCCCAGAATGAATTAAGGCCAAGTACTGAGGGCTACTGTCTTTGGAAAAAGCCCTCTTCCAAGGGTCCAGGCATAAAGACCTTTGCCCGAGACTCACCCTCTTCCTTGGATAGCTTCTCTCCAAGGTTCATTAGCTTCGCCTGCAATTCAGCCACGGAGATGAATCCGGTCCTTTGCTGGTCTACCATTAACATGGCCAGAAGGATTTCATTCCTTGGATCTTCCTGCTGCATTTGCCTATACATCATGGTCAGGAAAGTTGAAAAATCCAGTTCTTCGTTGACATCTGTAAGTGAGAAGGAAGCACTGCATGAAAAGAAAACTATTAAAGCCCATCACTTAGCACAGGGGTCCCCAACCACCGGTCCGCGGAACAAGTCCTACCGGGCCGCTGGCTTGCTGGCGCCGTCATCTTTTTTTGATGAAAAAGTGCTTCCGGTGAGCTTTTCCGGGTAGAAAGCCATTTCTACCCAGAAAAGCTCACCGGAAGCGCTGGCGCCGCCATCTTTTTTTGATGAAAACGTGCTTCCGGTGAGGTAACCGGAAGCACTTTTTCATCAAAAAAAGATGGCGGCGCCCAGCTGATGCCGGTACCGGGCCGCGGCGTAAAAAAGGTTGGGGATCACTGACTTAGCATGTCTCTCCACGTAAATCAGAGTTGCCTGCTTGTCATCTTAAGCTGGCTGTCAGTTTTGGAAGCCATATTAGCACCAGGAGCTTCCACGCTGCTACATTCCTGTGCCTGGGAAATTGGGTGGGGGGGGTTTGTAGAGTGTATGTAGTTATACACAAGAGCGTTCCTCCTTTCGGTCAAGGCCATGGTTTTCCTGGTTGAAGGGGTGTCTCACATTGGGACAGATGGTGATTGGGCCATATGATGGACTGATGGGTGCAGGGGTTGGGTTTTGGACTTTTGAATTACTAAGGGAAAACCCAGAACTCCCAGATTCGGGTTTTCCCAGATGGGCCAGTGTGACTCTTCTAATAAAATGGAACTTTGAGAAAACGCCTGCCTCGGAGTTTTGATGTTGGAGTTTGGGGTTTTCTGGAACACTGACATTAACCCAAATCTCTAGTATGGAGCCTAGAACCAAATGTCAGTGTCATGGCTTCCTGCCCCTTTGGAGTAAGGAAATGCACAAAGACATTTTAAAATAGTCTTCCTACAATAAGGAGTACGATAGAAAGTTCCTGATCTCCCCAGACTCTGCCAAGAATGAAATATCCTAGCCCTGCCTGCCAGCCCATGTGTGAAATAGCTCTGGCTTTGCAGATCTCTTTGGAGATTCTCAGTCATCCAGGTCACGGTTCAGGGGTGGGATTCAACTGGTGTTACCACCGATTTGTTGAGAGAGTACCGGTTTTGTGTGCGCGTGTTCAGCATTTGCAAAAAAAAAACAACAGCTGTGCCGCCCAGACAGCTGACAAGCGCTGCGTGTGGGTGTGCAGCGTTTGAAAATCCTCCTCTTTCCTGCTTTTTCAACCTCAACCGTGCCGCGCAAAGCAGCTGAGGTTGAAAAAGCAGGAAATAAAGGACAGCCAAGAGCCCAGGCGGGCGGGTGGGCCAAACAGAGGACCAAAAGATCATTGCAGCGAACTTGGTTTGGCGTCTGCTGCTCTTCAGAGCTACCGGTTCTATAGAACCGGGCCGAACCGGTAGCATCCCATCCCTGTCACGGTTGTCCCAAAGAAGCTTTTTCCAAGAGGCAGTTGAAAAAGGCAGTTCTTGGTTTTTTCCTTGAAAACCTCACTTCCCATCCAAAGAAGCTTCTTCACTTCTTCAGAAGGTTGAAGAAGGTTCTTGGATGAGAAGCTAAATCTCTTCAAGAAAAAACAGATAGTTCAGTTGACTTTTGAAAAAGCACCGTGTGATAGCTTTACAGACCTTGTTCCACTCCCATAGGTCAAGTTTGGGTCCAGGTACCAAAAGGTGACCCATTTCTGCTCCAAGCTAACATCCTAGTTTTCCATAATGACTGGATGCTTAATTTTTGTAAAGAAAGGCCGAAAGAGAAGTAATTTGAAGCTCTGAAGGTTTCCCCAAACTGTCCCTGTCATCTTTTCTCCTGCATCACCACAGGAGGATAGTTTCATATCCTTGAATATGAACTATATTTCATATTTCAGCTGATCTTTCTGTAGATCAGTACTATGCTTTCCTTAGAAAGCGTAGAATTATTTTCATTTTATTTCTATAATACCAGAATAAAAAGAAAAATTTGCAGAACCAGTTCAACGATGATTTGTAGCAAGCTCTTCACATTTCTTTAACCATTTGAGATGCTGACCAGAATTCTAAAGATCCTTTGCCAATAGTGACTATATTCAAGCAGAAATCCAAAAAAGCTCCCAACTGCTGAGATTTGCATTTCAAAAGCTTACCATGTTTCCCAGCTTAGAAAACAACCTTAGAAGGCAAAAATGCAAGATTATTTTCAAAAGGATTGGTTTTCTTTAGTAAAATAACAAACCACACAGTAGAGAATATATATATATATAGCTCCAGGCTGAACTCTGCATTCTTGGTATTCTCCGAGCTAGATTGTAAAACAGTGGCCCTCAAACCCCAATCTGTGGCTTGTTGGGAACCGGACTGCGCAAGCCATGTGCTAGTGAGTGAAGCTTCATCTGCACACGCAGGTTGTATAGTCATGGCTAGGAGAGATTTTGCACCTTGGTATTGTGTCCCCAGTTGTACCTGTTTCTTGATTGGCAAGCTTTACTCTCAGTCCCTCCCAAAAGGGCCACTGTAATGAAAACTGCAAATTGCCCTTGAAAAGCATGCAAAATGCAGCGATGCAGGAAATTACCGATGCCCCAAGAATGGCACATTACATCTCTGCTCTATGAGCTCCACTGGCTGCCAGATTGCTTCCAGGTTCAGCCAAGGGGCTGGTTTTGATTTTTAAAGGCCAATATGGGATGGAGCTGGGTTATTTATGAGCCGTGGTGGCACAGTGGTTAGAATGTAGTACTGTGGGCTGCTTCTGCTGACTGCCAGCTGCCAGCAGTTTGGCAGTTTGATCCTGACTGGCTCAAGATTGACTCAACCTTCCCTCCTTCCAAGGTTGGTAAAATGAGGACCCAGATTGTTGGGGGCAACAGGCTGACTCTGTAAACTGCTTAGAGAGGGCTGGAAAGCACCATGAAGCGGTATATAAGTCTAAGTGCTATTTCTATTGCTATTATTTCAGGCAGCACATCTTCCCATCCCATCAACTGGGAAACAAACTTTGCAGGGAGTGGGAAATCAAACACATTCCTGACCTGCTTAGCTAACAACTTTGTCATACAAAAGGTAGAGGAGGGAACTAGAGGGACAGCGACATTAGACCTCCGTCTTACATATATGAAATGAAATAATTGAGGGAGTAGATCAGGGGTGGGATTCAAATATTTTAACAACCGGTTCTGTGGGCGTGGCTTAGGTGGTGGGCATGGCTTAGGTGGTGGGTGTGGCTTGGTGGTCGTATTATTGGCTGGGCGTGGCCAACTCAATATCACTCACATCGGGGCACGCATCTCCTCGCCTGGCCTCTCATGATGGTGGGGATGCTGCAATAGTCGTAAGTGTGAAAAATGGTCATAAGTCACTTTTTTCAGTGCCATTGTAACTTTGAATGGTCACTCCACACAAGCAAAGTACCAGCAAAGAAGGGAAAAAAACTCCAGAGAAGTTCCAGAGACAGGAAGTCTAGTCCTGCCAAGAATGTAATAAGGGTGAACGGAGAGGCAGTTTCTGTAAGCAACACCAGAATGTTTCCTTCCTGCCTTCCTTACAGGATTAGGCCCTAGAGAAATAATACCACAGAGATGGACAAGCAAGACGACCAGCATGGTTGCATAAAGAATTAGTAGACAAATTGAGGGACAAAAAGGTCAAATTGAGGGACATGCTGAATCTACCAGGAAGGACTCAGGAAAGCCAAAGGCCCAGAATGAGCTAAGACTTGCAACAAAACGTTAAAAATAATCTAAAAGGTTTCTTACAAGAAGGAAGTTAAGGAAACAAAAGATCCATTAATGGGAGCACATGGCTAGAAGGTGTCAGGCAGCAGGGAGAAATAGTGTGGAGCTTGCCAGCTAGGTGGTTAGATTGTTTGTAAGACTCTGAGTGTACTTGCCCCTGTTTACTGTTTATGCTATTTAATCATTTGACAGTTTTGGCTGTTGCTATTTTAATTATGTGAGTCACGCAGAGTCACATATGTGTGATGGGCGGCTATGTAAATTCAACAAATACATAAAAAAGGCAAAATAACTATTAAGCGCAGTGGAAATTCAACTTACTTTACTTTTAATTTGGAAAGATATGGAAAAATCTTGCTAAGAAAATGGATTTATTTCCAGCTTTAAGCGGCATGATGATGACAAATGGATTGATGGGGCCAAGATTGATGGCTTATCTATCCCTGAAATATTGTTATGTTTATATTACGATCAAATTTAAATTTGTAGTATCATAGAGGGATAGAATAAAGACCATATGAAGTGTTAGTACCAGTTTATAATGCCTTAGTAAGACCACACTTGGACTACTGCATCCATTTTTGATCAACATGATATAAAAAAGATGTAGAGACTCTAGAAAAAGTACAGAAAAAAGCAACCAGGATGATGAGGGGACTGAAGACTAAAACATACGATGAACGGTTGCAGGAACTGGGCTTGGCTAGTCTAGGGAAGAAAAGGACCAGGGGAGACATGAGAGCAGTCTTCCAGCATTTGAGGGGCTGCCACAGAGAGGAGGAAGGGGGTCAAGCTGTTTTCTAAAGCGCCTGTAGACCAGACAAGGAATAATGGATGGACACTGAATAAGGAGAGAACCAACCTAGAACTAAGGAGAAATGACAGTGAGAAAAATTAATCAGTGGAACAACTTAACTTCAGAAGATTTGGGTGCTCTATCACTGGAGGCTGTCCAATCATTTGTCTAAAATGGAATAGTCTCTCCTGCTCAAGCAAGGGGTTAGACTAGCTGACCTCCAAGGTTCCTTCCAACTCTGTTATTCTATGTTATTTCAGCCCCTTTATTAATGATCCTTAATGTAAACTTTCCCTTTTCTCATCTGCTGAACGTTTAAGATAAATTTAATACATTTACCATTAGAATAGAATAACATATATTTGTAGAGAGCCCAAGGCAGTTCCTACTTGCTGTCACACATCTATTTTAAAGGTAAAAGGAAATCAGCCTCTGGTATCAGCATCTTACCAGGAAAATGTGCTCCGTTTGAATTATCATACATTTTCCAGGTTCAGTGAAGGCTTGTGGACTTCAATTCCCAGAATTCTCCAGCCAAGTTTGGGGACCCCTGTTTTGTACCATGGACATATAGCTGCATCCCCTGGAATCTTTCCATATGGTGTCACTGGTGCAGAACAACACATGACTGGGAACATATATGTGAATTACATTTAATGTTAATTAAATACACACATTTGGCTGATCTTCAAAAGTTAAGCAGGGAGGGAGGGAGGGGGATCTTACTGACACTTACCGATCTTGTGGAGCTGAAGGTGCCTGGCCACCTCTCCCAGAGTTGGGCTGGTGCCCAAACTGCGCATGACAACGATAAGATCGCTGGCCTTGATTCTGCCTTTCTGCCTTTTGTCATACAGGGAAAAACACTCCTTGAATTCTGTTTAGGAGAAAAGGAGAAGGACCATGGGATGGTTTCTGAGGCTGAGAGGCAAGGAATGTCTGGGCTCAACTCTCCACAGGAGGGAGGATCAAGCGTAAATTCAATTATTATTTCAATTGCTACTGAGTTTACAAGAACCCAATCATCCTGCAGCTACTATGAGCGTAGCCCTAAAAGCACAGATGTCTTCATCCTTGCCTTTTGGTGGACTCACAGATGTGTCTACAAGGTTTTCTTGGCAGGGCTGGTGGGTCACCATCCTCATCTTCTCTTATGTCTTCCTGACTTCTTAGTTTGGCCTAGGGCAGAGGTCTCCAAACTTGGCCGCTTGAAGACTTATGGACTTCAACTCTCAGAAGCAGAGCTGGCTGGAGAATTCTGGGAGTTGAAGTCCACAGGTCTTAAAGTTGGCCCAAGTTTGGGGACCCCTGGCCTAAAGCAACGAGGCCTCCTTCTAGTCTCTATCCAAGTTCTATCCAAGAGATATCCTGCTTCCTTTCTGAACTCAGAAAAGGTCACTCAGGGGCCAATGCTTGCTGGGATATTTATGTATTAAATTTGTATGCCGCCCATCTCACAGGCAAAGTCATACACATATTAGTTATTTAATTATTAGATCTTTTTTTCCAGATAAGGTATATAACATTCTGTCCTCCGTTTTTCCCACCATAAATCCCGTGATCTTGGTGCATCTGAGAGTTTAGGTAATCCTCAACTTACAACAATAATGGAGCTGACTCATTATGGTCCTAAGTTGGGATGGTCTTAAAGTGGGTCACCCATATGACTGACCTGAATTTTAAGAGTTTTTCAGTGGTGGCCATAAAGTTGTAGTGGTTAAGCAATCCCCAAGGTTGTTAAGCAAAGCCATTGTTCACTAAGGGGCATCTCTGTAGGAAACTGGATGTAAAGGCTGCGTTTTGGCTAAAACTGAAAATGGCCGTAAATGCAGGATGGTTGCTGAGTCTCCAAAATGTGGTCACATGACTGTCATCAGAACTATGGAGGGGAGGGGTGTCTGTCATAACTTTGAAGATTTGCTAAGGTCATAAGTCAAAGACTTACCTGTAGTTGGTCTGTCACCAATGAGCTTCCATGGCTGATTAGATTAGTTTAGATTAGATTAGATTAGATTAGAATAGAATAGAATAGAATAGAATAGAATAGAATAAGGAATGGAATAGAATGGAATAGAGAAAGAAGGAAGGAGAATAGAATAGAATAGAATAGAATAGAATAGAATAGAATAGAATAGAATAGAATAGAATAGAATGGAATGGAATGGAATGGAATGGAATGGGATGGGATGGGATGGGATGGGATGGGATGGGATGGAATAGAATAAGGAATGGAACAGAACAGAACAGAACAGAACAGAATAGAATAGAATAGAATATGGAATGGAATGGAATGGAATAGAATAGAGTAGAATAGAATAAGAATAAGAATAGAATAGAATAAGAATAAGAATAAGAATAAGAATAAGAATAAGAATAGAATAGAATAGAATAGAATAGAATAGAATAGAATAGAATAGAATAGAATAGAATAGAATAGAATTCTTTATTGGCCAAGTGTGACTGGACACACAAGGAATTTGTCTTGGTGCAAATGCTTTCAGTGTACATAAAAGAAAACATACATTCATCAAGAATCATAAGGTCCAACACTTAATGATTGTCATAGGGTACAATAAGCCATCAAATCATACTAGGAAACAATATAAATTGTAAGGATACAAGCGACAAAGTCACAGTCATACAGTCACAAGTGGGAGGGGATGGGCGATAGGGAGTGATGAGAAGGTTAATAGTGATAGTAGTGCAGACTTTGTAAATAGTTGGACAGTGTTGGGGGAATTATTTGTTTAGCAGAGTGATGGTGTTGGGGGAAAAACTGTCCTTGTGTCTAGTAGTTCTGGTGTGCAGGGCTCTATAGCGTCGTTTTGAGGAAAGGAGTTGAAACAGTTTATGTCTGAGATGTGAGGGATCTGTAGATATTTTCCCAGCCCCCTTTTTGACTCGTGCAGTACACAGGTCCTCCACGGAAGTCAGGTTAGTAGCAATTGTTTTTCCTGCAGTTTAATGCACTTGAACCTGAGTTTCTATGGTCCTGTCCAATACCTTCACCCCTGCGCTTATTAGACTAGCCAGTGAGGTATACAAAGCCGCAGATGCAAGTGACCTTCTAGCCCTCCTATCTTAGCTGGTGGCTGGTGCCCCTTTGACCCCGAAAGTGCCCCCACCTCTAAGGACAGCTTGCCCTTCTTCCAGAAACTCTACCGGGTCCCTTCTGTCCTGGTATTTATACCTTTTTTTCCAAGCAATATAACTGCTACCTAGCAACTCTTGGAAAGGACAATGCAGCAAGAGGTCATTCACATGCTAATGTAGCCCTGAAAGGCAAGGCAAGAATTGTAGCCTTTTTAAAGAATGCAAAGAGTGTGACCGACACTCTTCAGATGGACAGGAACTTTTTACCTAGGGATCAATCGCAGGTTTCACAGATGGAAGTTGTACAAAAAAATATGTGCCTCTCCTGGTCTTACAAATTCTTTCGTAGGGAAGTGGAAAGGGACCTGCCCTGCTCTGCCCTTCCAGAAAGCTGGAGTCAAGTTTTGGAGTCAAGGAAGACCAGGATGCACGTAATGAAAGAGAAGGGTAATAAGCTGCCCTTTTGAAATGAGAAAGGCACCTACCATTGATCTGATCCTGGGTTAGAAACTTTGCCTGCAAGACAAAAAGGGAAAACAACAATGAAGCAACCTCATTCTGCTCTGCCAAAGGATCCCCCAGCCACCATCCTGGCCAAATTGTTCCCAGTCACCATTTGGAAGGTTTTGGGGTGCAGATGCTGGTTCTTCCCCGGCTGCCCTGCCTGCCTTCCACCCCCAGCTTCCTCGTTGATGAAGGGGGCGAAGTCCACTCATCCCAGAGAGTGTTAGCAGCAGGTGTAATAAATACCTTTTGTCGTCATGGATACAATCCAGGTTGAGGGTCAAATTTCAGCTGTTAGCAAGCAACAGCAACCAGATCCGGGACTGTTCTGTGTTTGCAGGAATTATTTTTCAGCTCTCTCTTCTTGACAAGGACTTGGCTTTTTGTACTGGATAGAGCAGATAAGAACACCATCTTTCTAAAGCCTTCAAGTATTCCGTTAGATGCCAGTGGCTTCACAGTCTCCAGCCTCCTTCAAGACAGGTTAAGTAGGGTTCGACCCAAGGCATTTGCAAAGCCTCGACATGTTGCTTAACACAAAAAGAGGTCACTCCATTAAAAGCTTGCTTTCTAGGCATTGGAACCGGCTGAAAGGGAGAAATGGCCGAATATTTAGAAAGACCTTACCTAAACTTCCATCTTTGTTTTTACCAGGAGACATTTTGAGTACAATTACTAACGGCAATACAAGAATATATATATTTTGACTTCTGGGCACAGGGGTGGCTAAGCAGCAGTATCTCCCTTATCAATGAGAGGAAATTGCCACCATCTTGGGTTTCTGGTCAGAAGTGGCCTGGGCTGGTTCAAGAGCTGCCTAGCTTGTGTGTCAAGGACCATCCATCAATGTACAGTAATAAATTCAGCAGTAAGTACCGTAAGATTCATGAAATGTGAGGATTGAAAGGGATTTTGGAGATCATCTAGATCTGGGCTCTCCAACCATGGCAACTTGAAGACTTGCGGACTTCAGATCCCAGAATTCTTTGCTTTGCTTTGCTGGCTGAGGAATTCTGGGAGTTGAAGTCCACAAGTCTTAAAGTTGCCAAGGTTGGAGACCCCTTATCTAGATCAGGGGTATCAAACTGGATTTTCTTCGCGAGCCGGATCAGTGTTGTAGTTTTCCTCCTCGGGCTGGCTGAGGGCGGGGGGGGGGGGGGGGAGGGGGGGGGTCTCCCGCCGCACCCCGCTGGGCAGACCGGGGCAACAGGGGGGGGTTGTGATGCCCACAGGCCAGATTTAAGCACCCCATGGACCGGATCCAGCCTATTGCAGGAACCTACTACTACAGCAATCCTGAGTGATAACCCTTAAGTTTCTGTTGAAATGTTTTGAGCAAAGGAGAGTCCACCGTCTCCTGAGGCAGTTGGTTCCATAGCTGAAGAATCTATATGTTAACTTTTATTGTAGGAGAACCATCTTAGTCTATAGTAGCTCAAATTCAAAGGAGTCCAGTAGCACCTTTTCAGTGTAACACATTTTACCGAAGGCCACGTGATCCATGAGGCCCCACCATCCCAAGAGGCTGAGAGTTCTTATTTTCATGAAATTCCTCATTTTCAATTGGATCTCTCTTGGTAAATCCTCTACCCACTGGTTCTTGTCCATAATACAGAGGATAGTAATACATTCACTCCTCTTCTCTGGGACCACCTTTCCAAGTATTAGAAGAGACTGCTGTTGTGTCTTGTTGTGGTTCGCCAGCAGCAGGTGCGGACGGCTGAGGTCTCGGAGAGCGAGGACTCGGGTGAGGGGCCTGCGTGTGATGCAGGGATGGGGCCAGGAGTATCAGGGAGTGGAGTGCTGCCTTTGGAGATGGTGGAGGCTGGCAGCAGTGAGGAAGAGGCCCCCGAGGAGCCTGTGCCCAGTGTGCATGCGCACAGGGCTGCTCGAAGGAAAGAGCAGCTGCAGCAGCACGGGCGACTCGGAAGTAAGGCTTCAAGGTGATGGCCCCTCCCATAAGGGATAAAAGCCAGCTGAGAAACTGGAGTTCTTTGTAGGAAGCAAAAAAGTTTTTGCACTCAAGCCTTGTGGACGTTCGGAATATCTTGGTTAGTGTTTGGAGACTCTTTGTGTTTGAAATATTTCTTACAAACTTTTATCTAGTGTTCTTGGCAGCCTTGCACCACCTTGGCAAGGCTCCTTCTTATCAGAGGCAATTAGTTTGAAACAGCCTTTTAACCGGGAAGGAACGGAATTCGTAAAGAATCATTAAAAGGTTTTGCTGTTACCTCCATTATGCTTGGAACAAGGTTTGCTTGGAACAAGGTTTGGGTCAGAACACATCTCCCTTTTTTAGATAAAGCATATCCGCGTCTTATCTACAAGCCTCTCACGATGTATGTTGTTCTTTTTTGCACAGGACTCTTTCCAGGTCTTCAGCATCTTTATGGTGCCCAGAAGTAGAAAATATATGGAGTCACAGTCCAACCACTGCAGAGAAAAAATAAGGGCTTCCCTCGATTGTGATGCTAAACTTCTGTCGATGCAGCCTTGGATTCATTGGGGGGGAGGTGTTTGCACACCAATCACACCACTGGTTCACGTTGTTGGGACCTCTGAGAGAACCAGGTTCTTTTCACGTGTGGTCCAGTAGTCTCCTCCATTTTATATTCATGCCTTTAATTTATTTGCTCTACCCAAATGCATTTTCCATGCCTTGCGTTTGTCTGTGTTGAAATCCATCTTCCTGACTTTCGCTTGTTGTTCCTACTCGTCGTGGGATTCTCCTGAATCTTGATACTATTCTCTAAGCTGATTGTTATCTGCTTATTTTACGTAACCTGTATTATTTTCTGATCATCATCCAAACTCAAAATTAATGTTGAATAGCACACAGCCTAAGGTGGAGCTCTATTGTACTCCATGTACTGAGCTTAGTCGTGGACCGAAGATGTTACCTAGGTGGGCAATGAAACATCTGCAAGAAAATAGCCAAGCTCAGAGAGCACCAAGGACTAAAACAGCTCGACCCTGAACTGTAAATATTCTCTTTTGATTAGTCATCCCTGTGACACAACCTTGTAGCCAGATGTTCTACTGATGCACATTCATTGGAAAGGATTGTTCAAACGGCTCTCAGCCTTCCCGGATAAACCAGACAAGGAAACACAACCAGAAAAGTCAATTCTACTCTTTTATTATAAAACTAGACAAACAGATTCTTGCAGGTCTGATAGTACAAACCCTTCAGGTTCCTTAACGCTACAGAAATTAGGGAGGGTTCCTTTCGGAGTCCCTTTCTCGGACCTTATGCAGCTGTGAGCTATGCCATCTCTTGTCTGATTGTTCCCTAGGCCAGGGGTCTCCAACCTTGGCAACTTTTAAGACTTGTGGACTTCAACTCCCAGAGTTCCTCAGCCAGCTTAAAGTTGCCAAGATTGGAGACGCCTGGACTAGGCAGCCTCTCCCTCCCTCCCTGCCTCCCCCCACATCTAGTGGCATCATTATGGCTGTGCAGAGATGACCTCATTCAGCGCATAACATGCTAGCACAGCCTTCTCAAATTTAGCATCCTCTAGAACAGTGGTGGCTAACCTTTTTAGGCTCCTGTGCCAAAAATGGTGCGTGTGCTCGCACGCTCGTGCTCGCATGCCAGCGCCCAGAAGGCAATGCGTGTGCCTCCCCACGCCCCCTTATGCATGTGTGTGCAAGCCTCCCCACCCCCCCTTACCTACACGGAGTCTCACAGCTGATTTTCGGCCGGTTTGAGGCCTTTCTCGGCCTCCCAAAGGCTTGAGGATGGCTTCTGTAGGCTTTGCAGGCCGAAAACTAGCCCCGTTTCGTCACTTCCTGTTTTTCCAAAAATACCGGAAGTGACGAAACGGGCCTAGTTTTTGTCCTGCAAAGCTTGCAGAAGCCTTCCTCAAGACTTTGGGAGGCCGAGAAAGGCCTCAAACTGACCGAAAATCAGCTGTGAGGTGCGCACATGCGCAGTGAGGTAAGTTTGCCTGCAACTCACGTACCGGCACAAATGGCTCGGCATGCCACCTGTGGCACACGTGCCATCACGGCTCTAGAATTTCCTTTTTTCCTCGTATAATTCAGAGTTTTTAAATATATAAACTAATGCAACATATATAAAGAAGAGAAAATGAAAGAAAGCAAAGAAAAAGCATAAAATTACAACAAAAGGAAAAAGCTAAACAGAAAAGAAAAAAAGATACACCTCAGTGACCTCTGATATTCTTCACAGCCGTTGAAGAACTGCAATACAATTACGTTTTAACTTTTCTCTCTCAAGTTACACCACAATACTCTTCTTTCTATAATCTATCCTAGCTAAACATCAAAATCATAAATAATAAAAAAAAAATAACTTTCTTGTTTCAATTTCCGCACAGAAATTTTCTAAGGGGTTTCCTTTCAGCGATAAACGTGGAATGACACCCCGACTCTTCCAGAATGCCGAAACTGGCCCCTCACAAGCCAGAGAAACTTTGTCCTATTAAACAGAGACACTATTAAAAGGAAGAGACTCACTCCAGCTGAGCTGTGTTTTTGCCGACCGGGCAGAAATGTCCACGTTTTTTTCTCAGCAACAATCTGGGCATACTTTACCACTGACTTCAACAATGGCTCGAATTGTCAATGCCTTCTTTCTGTGCTACAAAAGACCTGCTCTAGGTTTCCAAAATGCAAGAACAACAAACAGGACCATCTGAAAGGGAGTAAGAGAGTCAAGGGGGTGCAGTTGTGTAATTGAAGCCCTGAGGGTGGGTGGGGTCTTGCTTAAATTGAGTGCATTCACGGACCAGGGCAGGGGGCTTTGATTCTGTGGTCAGAGTCCTCTTAAGGTGTTTTTTTTCCCCCCTCCCTGTGCACATCCCCCCCAAAAATGTTCCAGTGAAGAATTTCGTAACTTTAAAGCAGGGGTGTCCAACCTTGGCAACTTTAAGACTTGTGGACTTCAACTCCCAGAATT